GTTTTCAGATACATGTTTCATTTGAAATACTCACAGAAGCCAGGAAATTCGTGAGGGGCCACAGACAGTGGGGGGCTTTCCAGGGACCAAGGAAGGGGGACACGGAACCCATGGTACAAAGGTTTAAAGGGGTTTAGTTTTAAATAGGGATTGGGAAATGTGGGGAGAGTGGGAGGTCATGGTAAAGGAGGAAGTATGGGAGGGATACATCATGCTAATGCTAAAGATAGCTGAACCGGTCCTAGGGAAACCTATGTACCACAGTGTTTGTGAGAGAGATATATATGCTCATACCCTATAATGAACAGGGTGCCATTGCTCCTCTTAGACACCACTGACTAACAAAGAAAAAGCTGAATACCAAGAATGGCTTATTTCTTTTGGGATTGCTCATTAATGAAGTCTCCTAGACTCCCAAAGATTATATGTTAGTGTCAATGCTTTTGGATAACCCCAGGACTCTATAATAAGTTCCCATTGCTGAAGACACCACATATTTGAGTCACAGAACACAGAGAAGTCAAAGTGATGAGACCGGAAGCTTCATTCCTTTTGGCTAGCTTTCACAGTGCTGGAAGGTTCTATGCACTCCATCAGAGAAGAGTAACCTTCAGACTTTTCCAGCTGTGAACACTGAAAGCTACAGTAATGACTACTTGGCAAGACACGTCCATTGAACAACAGTGACACAAACACCCCAGGGTAACCAACCCATCTCCTGATTAAGCCCCCTCCGCGGGATGAAGTCTGTACCTAGCACAATTACCAGGCCAGGGACTTGTGGCTAGACAGTTCACAGGACCAAGGGGTGGTGCGGGAAAATAGTCTGTATTCTGTCAATCATGTTTTAAATAAACGCTGATTGGCCAGGCAGGAAGTATAGGTGGGAAAACCAGACAGGAAGTAGAGGTGATGCAATGAGAACAGAAGAATTCTGGGAAGGAGGAAGTTGATTCCTCCCAGTTCTGCGCAGATCACTGGAGAAGCAGGATGTAACCTGCCGACTGAAAAAGGTACTGAGCCATATGGCTAAAACAAATCAGAATAATGGGTTAATATATGTCATAAGAGCAAATAAGAAGCCTGAGCTAATGGGCCAATCAGCTTATAACTATGGAGACCTCTGTGTGATTTTCTTTGGGGCTTGCTGATTGTAGGGTACCAGGTGGGAGGACAGAAATCTCCAACAAGCAGGACTCCCTCATGTTACAAAGGGGAAAATCTAAAGCTCAACGGACACAGTGTTGAACTGATCCTACTGACTCATTGCTAGACCCTCAGATCAACACAGCTCTCAACTGTCATGTAAGAAGTTTCTCTTTGGGGGCTGGAGAGATGGCTCAGCGGTTAAGAGCATTGCCTGCTCTTCCGAAGGTCCTGAGTTCAATTCCCAGCAACCACATGGTGGCTCACAACCATCTGTAATGAGGTCTGGTGCCCTCTTCTGGACTACAGGCATACATGCAGACAGAATATTGTATACATGATAAAATAAATAAATATTTTAAAAAAAAGAAGTTTCTCTTTGCATTGGTTCGTGATGAACACAGAGCACAACTGTCCAAGGCATGGAGAATAAAGAGACTGAAGATTTTCATTCCTAAGTGGAACATATTTTCTGTACCCCTTCTTTCCATATTCAGGGACCATTGCAGAAGAAGGGGCAGAAAGACTGTAAGAGCCAGAAGTGGTAGATAACTACAAAGACAGTGTATCCTAGTTGCAGGTTCCTGCTGCAATGAGAAATCATGACCAAAGCAAGTCGGGGAGGATTACGCTTCCAGATCACAGATCACAGACCACAGACCACAGTTTATCATCAGAAAAAAATCAGGACAGGGACACAAACAGGGCAGGAACCTTCATATTTGTATTTCCAGAGCCCTGTCATCCTCCTTCCACAAGGGAATGTTTATACCTGGAGGAAACAGCAGCACAGACCATGGGAACCACAGCAGCCCGGGAAAGAGATCAGATGGGATGGGGCTGAGATGCAGGTGAATCAGAAGGTGTGTGTGTGTGTGTGTGTGTGTGTGTGTGTGTGTGTGTAGGTGTGTCTGAGCTCCAGAAGAGTCAACAGGTGTGTGAGTGTGTGTCTGAGCTTCAAGTGAGTCAGCAGATGTGTGGGGGTTGTGTGTCTGAGCACCTGGTGAGTCAGCAGCTGTGTGGGTGGTGTATCTGTGCTCCAGGTGAGTCAGCAGGTGTGTGGGTGGTGTTTCTGAGCTTTAGGTGAATCAGCAGGGGTGTGGGTGATGTGTCTGAGCTCCAGGTGAGTCAGCAGGTGTGTGGGGTGTATGTCTGAGCTCCAGGTGAGTCAGCAGATGTGTGTGTGTGTGTGTGTGTGTGTGTGTTTGAGCTCCAGGTGAGTCAGCAGATGTGTGAGTGTGTGTGTGTGTGTGTGTGTGTGTGTGTGTGTGTGTGTGTGTGTTTGAGCTCCAGGTGAATCAACAGGTGTGTGTGTGGTTTATCTGAGCTCCAGGTGAGTCAGTAGGTGTGTGGGTGTGTTTCTGAGCTGCAGGTGAGTCAGCAGGTGTGTGGGTGTGTGTATGGCTCCAGGTAAGTCATCAAGTGTGTGGCTGTGTGTCTAAGCACTAGGTGAGTCATCAGGTGTATGGGAGTGTGTCTGAGGTCCAGGTGAGTCAGAAGGTGTATAGGTGGTGTGTCTGAGCTCCAGGTTAGTCATTAAATGTGTGTTGGGTGTGTCTGAGCTCCAGGTGAGTTAGCATGTGTGTGTGTATGTCTGAACTCCAGGTGAGTCAGCAGGTGTGTGTGTGGGGGAATGGTTGAGCTCCAGGTGAGTTGCCAGGTGTGTTAGAGGGTTTCTGAGTCTCAGGTAAGTTAGTAGGTGTATATACGAGCTCCAGGTGAATCATCAAGTGTGTGAGTGTTATGTCTGAGCTCCAGGTGAGTCAGCAGGTATGTGGATGGTGTTTCTGAGTTCAGGTGAGTCAGTAGGTGTGTGTTGGGTGTGTCTGAGCTCCAAGTAAGTTAGCAGGTGTGTGGGTGGTGTTTCTGAGCATCACGTGATTCAGCAGGTGTGTGTGCATGGTTTGTCTGAGCTGCAGGTGAGTCAGCAGGTGTGTGGGTGTGTGTCTAAACTCCAGGTGAGTCATCGTGTCTGTGGGTGTGTGTATGTCGCCAGGTGAGTCATCAAGTGTGTGGGTATGTGGCTAAGCTCAAGGTGAGTCAGCAGGTGTGTGCGAGGGGATGTCTGGACTCCAGGTGTGTCACCAGGTGTGTTGGAGTGTGTTTGAGCTCCAGGTGATTAGAGGGTTTGGATTGTGTGTGAGAGCTCCAGGTGAGTCATCAAGTGTGGGGGAGTGTGTCTGAGCACCAGGAGAGTCATCAAGTGTGTGTGTGTGTGGTCTGTCTGAGCTTCAGGTAAGTCAATGGGTGTGTGGGTGTATGTCTAAGCTCCAGGTAAGTCATCAAGTGTGGGGGTGGTGTGGCTGTGCCAGGTGAGTCAGCAGGTGTGCAGGTGTGTGTCTGAGCTCCAGGTGAGTCACCAAGTGTGTGTGAGAAGTATCTGAGACTAGGTAAGTTAGCAGGTATGTGTGGGGTTTGGCTGACCTCCTGGTGAGTCATCAGGTGTATGGGAATGTGTCTGAGCTCCAGGTGAGTCAGCAGATGTTTGTGTGTTTGTGTGTGTCTGAGCTCCAGGTGAGTCAGCAGGTGTGTGGGAGTATGTCTGATCTCCAGGAGAGTCAGCAGGTGTGTGATTGTGTGTCTGAGCTCCAGGTGAGTCAGGAAGTGTCTGTGATGTGTCTGAGTTCCAGGTGAGTCAGTAAGTGTGTGTGTGATGTGTCTGAGCTCCAGGTGGGGCACTAGGTGTGTGGGAGTTGTCTGAGTTCCAGGTGAATCCGCAGGTGTGTGGGTGTTTTTCTGAGCTTCAGGTGAGTCAGCAGGTGTGTGTGTTTGTGTGTGTCTGAGCTCCAGGTTTGTGTGTGGTGTGTCTGAGATGCAGGTGAGTCAGTGTGTGTGTTGGAGGTGTATCTGAGCTCCCGGTGAGTCAGCAGGTGTGTGTGGTGTGTTTGAGCTACAGGTGAATCAACAGGTGTGTGTGTGTGTGTGCGCGCGTGCACATGTGGGTGTGTGTCTGAGCTGCAGGTGAGTCAGCAGGTGTGTGTGGGAGGTCACAGGTACCTCTAGAAACAACAGAGTGGATCGGAAGATAACTGTTGATGAAATGCTTGCTGTAGGTTTGAGGACTAGATGTCTGTCCTCAGAGCCCAGGTAATCCCATGCAGAGAGACATAGCCTAGCTGGTCAGTAAGCACAGGTAAAAGAGAGAGACCCTGTCTCACAAAACAAGGTACACACAGCTGGAGAAAAGGCTCAGTGGTTAAGAGCTCTTGCAGAGGACCAGTTCCCATCGTCTGTATTTTGCAGCTCATAACTACCAGGTACAGGAGATCTAAGGCCTCTTCTGGCCTTGGTGGGTACTGCACACACACACACACACACACACACACTTTAACAATTTCTGGGGATGGATTGGTGGCTTTGCAGTAAAAACACTTGCAGAGGACCCTGGGTTTAGTTAGCACCCCCATCAGGCAGCTCACAGTCACCTGTAGCTTCAGCTCCCTTTCCTGGCCTCCGAGGGTACCTGAAGTCATGTGACTTATAAACACTCATGCAGACATACATTACATTGATACATATTTTGAAAATAAAATAAATAAAAAATGCAAGATGTCTGCGGTGGTGGCGCACACCTTGAATCCCAGCACTCAGGAGGCAGAAGCAGGCAGAGCTCTGTGAGTTTGAGGCCATACTGGTCTATATAATGAGTTCCAGGACAGAGAAACCCTGCCTTGAGAAACAAACAAACCCTTGAAAGAAAAACAAACAAACAAAAAGAGAAACAAAAAGAAAAGAAAAAAGGAAAGAATTTTGGTGTCCACATGTACATGCACACACATATCTTACACAGAAGTATGTTCACACACACCCACACACCCACACCCACACCATAACTCCAGACACCGGAAAGAGAGTGAAATATAACTGAAGCTTTATTGGAGGGCTGGGCTGTGGTCAGTTGGGGCAGCCGAAGACCACCATGGTCTCTGTGAAAGCCCCGAGGTTCTCACACTGTTTCTGGTTCTCCTCATCCTGGCATTCTTCATCCTCGGGCCAGAGCTCCACCCAAGTATCTTTCCCAATGATGTAGCTGGTGCTGGGGAAGGGAGAACAGGTGAGGGCGGACTCCTGGGGCAGTGGGCGGGGCTAAAGGGTCAGCCACTTGGGCAGCACACAAGGCAAGGTGGACACTTACTTGGGCTTCTCTCCCCAGAGGTCGGAGGACAGGCCCCACAGGAGGTACTGCTTCCCATCCTGCAGCTTCAGGGCTTGCCTACACTTGATGTGGCTGATGAACGTGCGTTCCTGCCCGACCTGCACCTCATCTGAGCCTGTGGAGCAGGGAAGGGGAGGCTGAGCTCCCGCAGAGGGAGCAGGGATGGGGAGGTGGGAGGACAGAGAGATAGCTACCTGACTTGATGACCTGCTCGATGGTCATGGTGTACTCATCGAAGGCACTGGACAGCTTCGTAGCAGCTAGCCTGGCCCTGTACACTGTAGGGGGAAGGGCGGTGATGGGCATGAGCTAGGTGGGCTCTCACCAGCACACGCACCTGACCATGTGACTCCCCCACCAAAAGCAGAGACAGGCTAAGTCAGAGCCACCGACACCTCAGCCAGTCCCCTCCCAGGAGTGCACATAACCAGGCCATCCCATAGCCACACTCAGACTCACACATGTAATCTGTCATAGCTACCCGGGAGTAGTTAGAGCTACCCACAGGCACAGCCATCCATGGTAAAGTCTCATATGACTGAGGCTACGGGCAACCCCAGGCTACAGAACCATGTGCACATTCATAGCCACACATACCATGGACACGGTTAGAGTCTTAGGCAAGTAGTCATGTGCACAGAGGCAACTATTCTCAGCACAGCCATCCCCAATGACAGTATCATGCAACCATGGTAACCTGCCAGATCGCACCACACACATAATTAGAGCCAGGTGTAAGGACAGTTATTTTCATGATGGCTGTAACTGACATCCACAGTCACCCTCCTTGAGCACTGCAAATATACAGCTATGCAAAGTCACCACTGTCACCAAAACACATGTCCAACTCACACTCAGGCGTGTGCAACTACAATCACCTACAGCTACAGGCGCATGCACAGTTGTAGCTACCATGAGTACGTCTTTGTGTCTATGTGAATATGTTCACACGTTGTCATGGTATCTGTTATCCACTTGACAGACCTGGCAAGAGGGAATCTCAGCTGAGGAACTGTTTCCATCAGCGTGGCCTGTGGCTATGTCTGTGGAGGCATTTTCTTCATTTCTAACTAATAAGGAGTGTTGAGCCCACGGTGAGCAATGCCATCCCTAGGCAGGTGGGCTTGGGCTGTGTAAGCTAAGCAAGCCAGGGGGTTGGGGCATTAGGACACGGCATTCCTCCGTGGTCTCTGCTTGATGACAAATAGTAAACTATAAAATGAAATAAACCCTTCATCCCAGACTGCTTTAGGTCATCCTCTGTCACAGAGAGGCCAATCAGAATATGTGTACATGGTCATGTGTGTGGGCGGGTGCGTGTGCGTGTGTGTGTGTGTGTGTGTGTGTGTGTGTGGAGGTCAGAGACCACCTTTGTCCTTTTCTGTTTTTGCATGTGTCTGTGTGTGTGAGCGCAGCATTTGCAGATGCCAGGAGAGGGTGCTGGATCTCCTGGAGCTGAAGTTCCAGGCATCTGATGTGCAGTGCTCGAACTCACAGAGCCAGCTCTCCAGCCAGCCTCGTCCCTTGTGTTTTTTTTTGAGGCAGGGTCTTACTGAGACCTTGAACTTACTGGTATGGCTAGATTGGCCCTGAGAACCTCCTGGCTCTACCTCCTTGGTGCTCAAGTTAGTGACAGGTGCCACCACGCTGAGTTTTTTAGCTAGGTGCTGGAGATCAAACCTCATGCTTGGGCATCCAGAACTGAGCTGTCCCCATCCACAGTCCTACTCAGCCATGACTATGGACTACAGCCTTCTGGCCAACCCCACCCGTGGTCACACCCACCTTCTCTCACCACCGATTCCCTACTGTTTAGCTATGTTCTTGACACTGAAACTTCAGGTTCTGGAGGAAGGGCCCTTGAGACTCAGAAAATAAGTGAAACTTACAAGGCCCACAGGGCCCCTTCCAGAACCTATAAAAGTCATTCACCCTCCTGCCAGGAACCCCTCATTCCAGCTCTCATGAGGAACCCTAGCAAGTCACTGGTTCAGCAGGCTGGACCTGGGTGGTCTGTGCTCTCTCTGGGATGAATGTCTACCCAGGGAACATCATACAACACAGACAATGGCCCTTCGCTACACATGTCCCAAACACAACAGTCACACACAGCCACACGCACCATGGCTGTTCCCTGCTACTCACACAGCATCAAGCCACTCTGCAAGGTCTGACAAAGCCACTAGAAGCCACACTCACCGTAGTCCACTCCAGGTTCGCAAGCCTTTTCCAGCCGGTCGTTCAGGCTGACCTTCTCCTGTGCCTGATGCATGAAGCAGTTCTCTGCAGGGGGGACACAGGCTCTTGAGTCCCTCTGCCCCTCCAGGACCCACTGTCTGTGTTGGGGCTGGGCCCAGAGGGGACACCTATCCTCCATGTCTCCTGGGTGAGACTTTCAGGCCATCCCCCACCCATGGGAGCAGAGAGTCTGTGTCGCTGTGTCTTGCCCGGATCCACCCTTCACACCCTACTGGTGCCCACCCACCTGGTGCCCACACTTCAGGTGCCCACCCTCCAGGTGCCCACCCACCTGGTGCCCACACTTCAGGTGCCCACCCTCCCGGTGCCCATCATCCTGGTGCCCACCTTCCTGGTGCCCACCCTCCTGG